TTTTTTGAAATAGGTGTATAATAGCACATTGGAAAAATGATTACCAGAAGACATGAAAGGTACAAGCAACTTATACTCCCCTTATACTTTCAGATCATTACGAGAGATGACTAAAAAAATTAAGTGTTTTTGAATTTAAACGAACCTTCCATCGAATGTTGTATAATGAGGGTCTGTTACTGATGAACACTGCTTTTGTGGTGTATTTGAAATGGAAACCTTAAAAAGACAATAGAATGASCATATTTTACAGTATTCGTGCATAGCTTTGCTTAGATCTCATCACATGACCTTATGATGGTGAAAAGACGTGCATTGAAAGCAGATCAGGCAGCAATATGAGAGTTTAGACACATATAACTAAGAAAATGGATAAATTAATGATTGAGTTGAAGCTAAAAATCAAGGCATTATCTCATACCCTAACAGATGGTAGCTTATACATCAACCAAAATCTTTGTCTAAAGTCKRCAATGACAAAACGGTACTCCATCGAMCCTASGGTGGTTTGATCAAGGTTGTCRCAAAYTGGGGTGATGGTGATGWTACGYGATTCACTAGGAAGCATTCCATGAGGAAGTTTTAAGTCACATGTATCAACAGYACTTTTACTTTGTAATTGACCGCGAWWCGGCACAAGGATTTTGATAGACAAGTGCTTTTGCATTGCTTCATCCACAATAGGCACAGTTGGTGTGAAGGTGACTGTAATTCGTGTATCTTTATTGCATTCCTTTAAACGTCCATTTTGATGAGAGGCAACAACCTGGGTGTAAAATATGAGTTGTATTGTCAGTCTTGGTTTGGATTTTGTCTTCTTCGATCGTAAAGCGACCAAAAAGGCGATCCTAGCTGTGCTCCGTGATCAGATATGGGTCGGTTGGTTGGCTGCTTTGTGTGTGTGTTGTAACTATGTGATTGTCCTCGTAATGATAGCGCCCTCGTATACCGCATAACCGACTCGATCACGTGAGCTGCGTCCTTCGTAATTCAGCACTCGGGCTGCAAGAATGGGCAATTAGCTACCACCAATTTATTTATTTATTTAATTGACTACGCTAAATAACTTACAATCTTCTATTGGAAAAACAATAAAATAACTTGTTTTCAAAGAATTATTCTTGCTCTTACCGTCAAATATAGGTTTATAGGAAAATTGTGTGCCTCTCTWAGTATGTTTGCGCTGCATTTTTATAAATAACTCTCGGGATTCCCTCTAATTCGTAAAGAGACCAAAACGTCAACCACGGAAATAACAGTTTTCGATTAAAAAAATACACTTATCAAAAATAAACTGTTTTCAAAAGAATTGTTCATGCTTCTAACATCAAGTAAATGAAGTATTGGAAAGGTAAGTGTTTTTTTTTTGCGGTTTTTAACTACGATTCAAAAATACACAAAAATGAATTGTTTTCAAAAAATCATTCATGCTACTGTCACGCGATAGATCTATACTAAATCTTCTACAGTATWTACCCGCTTTATATAAGAACACATTTTTTAAAATTTAGTCTAAACGGGTTCTTATGTAAAATGTGCTTAGTGGAACTTTAGACTATGCGGGTTCTTAAATAGGTTCTTATTTAATGAGAAATATATATTATACACCTGTGAATGGTAGAGAGGTGGCATGCATATTAATTTAATATCAAAACAAAAACCTATTATTAGGTTTTTCAAATCATTTATACCAAATTTAAAAATGAATACATGTTCAAGTTCACTACTTTTGAGTCATGTGTTTTTACATGAAAATCTTTTTAGGTGAATTTCTAGAACCTTTCAAGAACATTTCTATAAGAACCTGTTTCAAATTTTAGGCTAAATAGGTTCTTATGTAAGTAAATGGGGTCTAAACTAACAGGTTCTTAAATTGCTGGTTCTTATAAGCGGGTACGTACTGTAGCTTTCTTGGTATCTAGTAGCTAGGAACTTCGTTTTCGAGAAAAACTTGGATTTAAACTAATATTTGAATATCTATTCTACATTTTGTTTTTCTCCACTCATGGTATATGAGATGATAGCCTAGTAGTAGAGAAACCAATCAGAGCACGCGCATGTATTTTGATACATTAAAAAGTATCAAAGTATTAAATGTATTTAAAAAACCAAATTAAACAAACAAAACCAAACAAATGAAAACAGAACAAAAYAAAACAAGAACAGATACAAASAAAAARCAAAGAAAAAGCAATCCGTSTCAGAACTATGAAATGGTTTCCAGTGTTTGCTAATGATTACCTTGATACCARCAAAATATTGGCTGCTTTGCTTTGTAATGGCRGTCCATTTGTTGTCAACATTCGTGTTATATCTCATGCGCAGCTTACAGTGAACCTGTTAAAAAAATTAGRAAACCTTATTGATTTAAACCTACACTTAAAAATTAGGTTTTTCAAGTAAAAAACATAAAATACACAAAAATTGTGAGACCAAAAATTATTTGTGTTACCTCGTTTCGTTTTGATTTCGAGTGCTTCAAGCAACCACTAGCGTATGGGAGTGGTCTGTTCATTTTGTTTTTGTTCGGGTAGATTTGAGTAAAACCGAAACAAAGTGCATGTAAACGGAAGAATATCCCATGATGCTTYCTGTACGGATTACATTCGTCCTTTTTTCTGATGATAGCCTAATTTTTCCATTTATGATAGCGGGGAAGAGTGTAATTTATTTCGTTTGCGAGGGGGGTAGTGAAAACTTTTTTCTTTTTTTTTGTCTCATTTCTCAACCCTCCCCCTTTCCCCTTATTACAGTAGGAGGTGTGTTAAAGATTCAAACTCTATAAGGGAGGGTTGGTCAAAACGAGTAGGAGTTAATTCATTATCATAATTGTCGGCAATCTSAATATGCATGTACCAGCCTGCGTGAATCATCCAAACTCTTGTGATAGCGACTCGTTCCTCGTTTATCAAGTAACATGATTCGTAAASTCATGATTTGTGTTAACAAGAAAATGTCGGTTACATTCATAAAAAGATAATTGCTTTATTTCAAGGTTCAACGATATAAGTATAGTTTACAACATGAGCAGCCGTGTTGTATGGGAATTACAATCTCATGACTACATTTTTGTTAATGAATCACCTCCTATTCGTTTTGACCACCCCTTCCCTAATACTTTTGACTCATTAGCATACCTCCTACTGAAATTATTAATTACCGCCTATTTCGGGGCTCGAGAAGATCTGCTATTACTACTAACAGATCGTCCCACTACAATAACATCTTAATTTAAATGGTTACATTAATCATGCAAGAATGATTTATGTCTTGTTTTGGAAGCTTGGCAAGAGGGTCTAAATGAAAACAACGTTTTTCATTACTTTTTCATGTAATTTGTTTTGTACTAGAGATAGTGAGTGTGGGAGCACAGTGTCCCCTTGTACGTTATAGACACTCATTTATTACAATTTTTTATCATCACTCAAATGTCAAATTTTGTCCATGCCCTGACTTGTCTGCAGGACCTGCAGTAGTGGAAGACATATCAAACTTATTACCATATATCGGGTGACTTTTGCTTAGATTTCATTAGATTAGATCTTTTGGTATGTTATAAATGAAGAGGCTGAAAAAAGCACAAATGCTTTTTAAAGAATCTATAGGTTTATCGGTCATTAGGAAAGCAAAAAGCTTTAAATTTTGCTCTCCAAAACCCTGGGACTGTTCAACAATAGCTTTAGAGTTTTTTGAATATTTTATTATATTTTTTAAATATTTCTAAAAAGTACACAAATGCCTAGCTTGKGCTACCTRTGATCGCCTGGCTATTTTGATGCTCAACTCAAACTCTTCAAAGGAGAAAATACATACTTGGGTTTTCAAATGTTCTCACGAAGAATACACAAAAAGGTCACATATATATTTCATTTCTTAAATTCGATGGTGGGTTTTTCGACAAGCGCTCGCATTGACTGTCCTTCTGAGGAACAAAACTGAATCACGGCTCACGCTACAAAAAAATATTCACGCCTCAAGGCTAACTTTTTCTCATTTCACGACTCACGGCTAATTTTTCAGCCGTTTTCACGGCTCACGGTTAACCACATTGAGACCCTCCCGCTCTGTAGACAGCTGCTTCTGCTTTTACTCTAAAACGAGTTCTAAAACAGCAATGGACCTCCTTACCCTATGTCCTGGTTTGAAGTAAGACCGTATTTGGTCGGGATGGAGTGCAGGTAATTCACTGTGCCTATTCGAGCAATCAGGATCACTTTTATCACTGCAAATAGTGTCATTTTTGACTGAGTAGCCATCAGTAAACCATTCAATGCCAAATGACACGTTTTTCCAGTTGGGAAAACTGAATTTACAGAGCATCGTCAAGGGACCAACAGGATTGTCCTTGTACGTGATGGTTGGTGTTGGGAGAAGACCAGACGGGAAATGTGCAATGGTGGAAACTGTGGAAAACGAAGACTTAGAACAGATGTTTTTGTTCAATTCCATCCTGTTTAAGTTAATTTTGTTTTAAATCTTATTCCATTTTTCTAACGACTACTGAATTCCGGCAGTTATGTTCCGTAATTTTGCATTCCGTTCATTTTTACATTTTTACATTTTTACAGTCCATTTCAGTAGGCCTGCTACGTTGTTGGATGGATTCCCAACTCCTGGATTCCGAGTTCTATGATACATTTTTGCAAGTAATCCGGGNGAAGCTTGGCAAGAGGGTCTAAATGAAAACAACGTTTTTCATTACTTTTTCATGTAAATTTGTTTTGTACTAGAGATAGTGAGTGTGGGAGCACAGTGTCCCCTTGTACGTTATAGAGAATCAGTTATTACAATTTTTTATCATCACTCAAATGTCAAATTTTGTCCATGCCCTGATTTTGTCTGCAGGACCTGCAGGAGTGGAAGACATATCAAACTTATTGCCATACATCGGGTGACATTTGCTTAGATTTCATTAGATTAGATCTTTTGATATGTTATGAATGAAGAGGCTGAAAAAAGCACAAATGCTTTTTAAAGAATCTATAGGTTTATCGGTCATTACGAAAGCAAAAAGCTTTAAATTTTGCTCTCCGAAACCCTGGGACTCTTCAACAAAGGCTTTTAGAGTTTTTTGAATATTTTATTATATTTTTTAAATATTTCTAAAAAGTACACAAATGCCTAGCTTGTGCTACCTATGATCGCCTGGCTATTTTGATGCTCAACTCAAACTCTTCAAAGGAGAAAATACATACTTGGATTTTCAAATGTTCTCACGAAGAATACACAGAAAGGTCACATATATATTTTATTTCTTAAATTCAATGCTGGGTTTTTCGACAAGCGTGCGCATTGACTGACCTTCTGAGGAACAAAACTGACGGCTCACGCTACAAAAAATATTCATGCCTCACGGCTAACTTTTTCTCATTTCACGACTCACGGCTAATTTTTCAGCCGTTTTCACGGCTCACCCTCTGTAGACAGTCTGCCTTTTACTCTAAAAAGAGTTCTAAAACAGCAATGGACCTCCTTACCCTATGTCCTGGTTTGAAGTAAGACCGTATTTGGTCGGGATGGAGTGCAGGTAATTCACTGTGCCTATTCGAGCAATCAGGATCACTTTTATCACTGCAAATAGTGTCATTTTTGACTGAGTAGCTATCAGTAAACCATTCAATGCCAAATGACACGTTTTTCCAGTTGGGAAAACTGAATTTACAGAGCATCGTCAAGGGATTAACAGGATTGTCTCTGTACGTGATGGTTGGTGTTGGGAGAAGACCAGACGGGAAATGTGCAATGATGGAAACTGTTGAAAACGAAGACTAAGATCAGATGTTTTTTTTAAATCTTATTCCATTTTTCTAAAGACTACTGAATTCCGGCAGTTATGTTCCATAATGTTGCATTCCGTTCATTTTTGTTAGTACAGTCCATTTCAGTAGGCCTGCTACGTTGTTGGATGGATTCCCAACTCCTGGATTCCGAGTTCTATGATACATTTTTGCAAGTAATCCGGGTGCCGTCAGAGCGGATGTGTCGGATAAGGATTCTATTTACGTTGAATTCCAGGGCTTAAATCTTAAATTTTCCCGGATTCCTATAGAGACTATATCATGTTAATTGGCATATACCTTGACAATTTGGGACAATTCCCACTTGTCCTCTCGGGCACGGCTTCTTATCACCTGTTGGGAAAAGAGAACAAGAAGAAGAACATAAGTACTAAACTATGTACTTTTAGTTAGGTATAAACATTATTCAACTAATTGAAAACGAAAAATGCAAGTACTCTCTACTGTCGTCCAGGCAATAACACATTTTGACATGTCACTGCATGTATCCCAAAKCTAAGTAATTAATGTGTGGTTTTAGCAATTTTTCGAAATATGTAAATTTAAATAAACATCAACGTCTCATCAACATCTCTTCTGTGAAGTTTCAGGACATTTGCTTTGAATATTGACTTATTTATGGCTGTTATTTTCCAGCGTCCTAAGAAGAGAAAGTTGTACAGTAACCCGATCTCATCATCAGTTGCAAAAAATCAAAAATTCCTTGGGATTGCCTTCGCACGAATTTCACTTCAAAACTTGAACGCTTTGACTACGAAAATCCTGTCTTATATAATTGGCTAATTTAGTTTTCATGGAAGTTGATTTATTATATACATACTGAGATTTTCTCACATATATTTCTATTTGAAWATCCGTTTCAAAATATTAACTAGCCAATCATAGGAGCGAAATGAATTTCTCACATGTGCGAAAAGCGTTTCGTCCAATCAGGAAAGACTTGTGAAAACGTACCACGGAATTCAATCAACAACTTCAAGCTTCTTATGACTAGAGACAAGGCATTTTAGAAAGTGAATTGACAACTTATATTGTCAGGAGAAAAAGAAAAATTCAACAGCTAAAACGGCGAGTGATGAAAAGCTAACTCGATGAATTTCCGCCGAGAGAAAAAAAAGTGTTAAGCAAATTAAGAAATCCAATTCCAAGAGACCGAAAGCAAATAGCTGACATCTGACATCTCTGCGAGTTCATTATGATTGTGAAACCTAAAGACACTGAAAGTTTCTGAACCAGCAGGTCCTTAAGATATATTTTCAAGTTTCAATCGACACAATAAAAGAATTAATGCAAATGTTCCACCAGATATTTCCCAAGACCACAGCGAAAACTCACTCAGTTCCAGCGCAAACTGAACCCGCGATTGTCAAGTCAACCACCGTCGCCAGCAGTAGAACTGTTCAAAGAAGCTGTATTTTATATGGCAAATTTCTCATTATTAGATATAAGTCCTAGATGTACTTCATCTTCAGCACAAGTATCGAAGCTATTATATGAATAAAACTCGTCCATCGCGACGGCGATAGAAAGTAAACAATTTCATTCATTAAGGTTTGTAGGCTTGTTGCACTTTCCTCTAATGTAGCTTTTCGTTATTTTTATCATATTCAGTGAATGAAAATTGACTATAAACTAAGTTATTGATGTGATTTATTCATAATTATCCAATTCAGTATTTAAATTGTATCGTAGTTTGAGCGCAACTATAACTTCAAGCGAGTTTGTAAGACAAAACCGTCATTAAAATGCACAAAAGTCGCTCAAGTAGATGCTATAAATCTCAGTATGTATATAATAAACAAACTTCATACGCTCACTCGTTCGATTTAAGATTCATCACCAATGCAACTCGTGCGAAAATCCCGTAGGTCAGCACTTTCCATGAAGAAATCTCTATTAAAACCACACAAACACATTACATGGCCTATACGTACGATTATTATTCAGAACTGACTCTCAGTTGCTTAGCAATTTGCTTGTTTTATTGGTTTCTATAGCCTCTCGAGCATAACTGTTCCTCAGAGTAAATCACGCAGCAATAAGTTCATAATGTCATTGCTTTCTATACAGAGGTTTCAGACGTAATTCCATGTCAAATCAGTCGACCACTGCCRGTTCACAATCTATTCAAGTTATTATCATGACTAAATAACAAGAGAAAAATAAAACAAACGGAAACACCTTACCAGCACAATAGGCTGCTGGACATCCGTAAATTCTCTTAAGTTTGTAGACGTAAAATCCACCACAGTTTTTTATAGAAATYTTGTGTTTTACTAGACATCCATTCGCAATATTTTGAATATTTGCGCATGCCGTCACATCTTTTTGTTGCCCTTTCGTTGTTGGGTGAGTATCCCTGATCCAGATAGGTGCAACAGTACCACAATGGTTAGGTGAGGGTTTTGTTTCCGGCATCATTCCACCAACAATGCTTTTGAATCTATACCAGCCAGTCGTAAGTTTGTCGTCGCATATGGCTACAAATCCTGGCTGTAGCTCATACTTAGTACTGCGGTAGACATCGTTTATAGCATTGTAGTTAGTACAGGGGTCTATTGTTTGACAATATATCGTCCTGAAAAGAACAAAGACTACAAGCATAGAGCAGTGATAAGCTGCCATCTCTGCTCAAGCTAATAAAAATTCATACTGCGTAGTTGTAGGAGAAAGTATATTTGACTTTTAACCCCGCTTCAGCGCAAATTTAATACCCTTGATTCGTTGTTATTACTCGGGGTTCCTGTGGAACCGCGAGTTTAAATTTCGGGCTTCTTATTACCGTGCCAGGCTGAAGGCCTGCGTCACGGTCATAAAATGCAGTTGCTGTGTTTTTTTTTTTCCATGTCGCACCTGAACCAAGCCCCTCACGGTCAGATTCTGTCCATAGGGCTCCCAAGATAGCCGCTACATACACAAAGTAAACATTTGATCACTTCATTCTTCGAGTTAGAATACTAAAGCCAATTTTCCGACAGTTGCACAAAGCTAGCGAGCAATTTGTCTTGACAAGACATTCCACTCACGTGTCTAAAATATCTCCATGTACGTGTCCGAACGAGTCTTTCGAGAGCACGACTCTGTTTTATATTACCGTTTAACAGGACACTAATAAGAANTATTTCTAGATAGTGTGTATGGAAATTTTCAGACGAATTCAACGCTTTGGTGGCGAATCACAAAAGTTTTAGTTTGTGCGGAGTTTAATTTATTCTACTTTTAGATCGTAAACAAAAACTTCGAAATTGGATAAATCATACTTTCAACTCCGTAAGAACTTACTTAAGGTGATTTTTCTTTGAAATAAAGCCATAAGTGAACAAAATTTACAAAGGAAATCAAGGAAACCAGAGTTTTTGAAGTCAATTTGAAACCAGCCGCCATCTTGGATGATCAAAGTTATCATCCAAGATGGCGTCCCCATACAAATCAACCAAATATTTCAAATCTTTATTCGCTGATATCTTCATCAGAAAGTAAGCTGCAAGCCTTAAAGCTCGTATTCTAGATAATCTGAGTATGCGTCTTTGTGACTCGCTACTTGGTTTTTGAAAATAACGACTAATAAATTTTCACTTTGGGGGTTGCACACCAAGAATAGGCTTTCCGAGGTTAATTTGGCGTGTTTCAAGTACAGTTAAGCTTGACAGTATTGCGTGACATATTTTTGAACGTTAATAACTCAACGAATAAACAGCAAAAAAAGGTGAAACTTTCAAAGAGAAGTTCTATTATGCTCTTCAAGGTATTTTAGTACTTTAATGTTGTGTGTTTGTGAATTTTTTTGTGTGTCTGTAAATTTTTTTTCGACTGATGACGTCATGTGCAAACCGAGAATAGTCGGCGAGACTGTAATACGCGAGGTGGAAGAAGACAGAAATTCAACGTCTACAAATACGCTCAAATCACTTAAAAATATCCACACTTTCGTTGGATAGCCACACTAAAATATGACCAGCGTTTTTCCGAAAAAGGAATTTCAGAAGATAACGTAAATTTATCGAGAATTTATCTTACTGTCTAATAGAGATCGAGTCTATCGAACAAGCTACCTATCTTTGCACAAGCGAACTATATACGAACTTATGCAGGCTCTGAAACTACTAAGGTCTCGTCTAAGGAATGCGAACAGAGTTCTTCTGAGGAAAAGCCGACGAATGAAAGAGCGGAGAAGATAAAAGGCTCTGTGTTTACAGCCTGTCATGTGACTATCAAAGAACGGCTTGCTGATGATCAATTTTTTCATAATATTTATGCTGAGTACACTGTTTTTTATATTTTTTTATTCCAGGAAGTATTTTTTGCTTTACGCCTTTTGATAGTATGACTATTAAGTTTATTAAGGTTCAATATAGTCCAATTCTTCTCAATTCTTCGACTACAACACTCATTGTCACTTCATCGTTGTTTTATGATATATTCAAGCAGAACCCCGAGTTCACGCAGCTATGCGTCTAGAAGAGATTTAGATCTCCTTACGTGTTTTTAAGTTACCGATATAAACGCGTGGGGGAGCTGGGTAGGGCTTTTGAATACAAACCTGTCGGGGATGGGTAGGACTGTTGAAGATGGTTACAACTCACTCAAACCCATGACATAGTGACGAGAGGCCTTTCGTCACAAAAATTGCTCGCCCGAGTTGACGCTCTAAGCGGGTCTGGTTTAGACATAAAGAATCTACCAAGGGCATGCAGTTCATCATGGGAACTGATATCAAATATATCAAGAGTAAAATTTGTGAAAGTAACACCTTGTTGATTACATTTAGCAGCTTTTG